ATTTAGAAGAATATGGTTATACTTACTGGCTTATTTATTACATTTATTACATGATTTCAAAAGGCTTTTTTTTCTTGAGATAGGAACAAAATAATAAAGTTTTGAGTGACATTTGAAATAAATTATTGTTGATATTAACAGAAAAAAAGTTGGTAGAACTGCAAACATTTTTCTTTTTAAAATACATTTACTTAATTAAAGGGTATAAACATTTTGGAAGAACAGTAAATCACATGGGCGAAAATACCATTTTATGTTGCCTGGCGCGTGATTGATGACTAATCAATTCACCGTATAGACAAAGCGATTGAGCAGAATGCTGGCGATGATAAGATATCTTCCTATATCTATATCTAACCATAGCTAAAGTCCAGAGGCTTGAAACCATTACTCTTTATAAGTTTCGTATGAAGTTCTGCCTTATCAATATTGACAAAAACGTGTGTAGTCGAGATACACATGGTCATAAAAGGTGGATGAGTGAAATATGTATCAGCAAATCCGGGAAGATGGTTAAAGGTGATAAAATATCTTATGCCACCAATATGGAATTATGTATTTCTCATATACTCTGTCTTCTCAGCTTTCATTTTTCGTTTAACATTTCAGACAATATACTGAATTATTATACTTGTTGGAGATTTAATCACCAGCTTTGCAAATGGTTATTCTTTCATGCCTTATAAGGACACGTGCCTCAACGTTAGGCTTAGTTCAAGACAAACAAAAAATAGTGTGGTGCCATCGTTTGACGTAAGACGAACTTTGTGACATCTTCTGGTAAATAAAAAACAGAAAATTAAAGTTCAAATCCTCTGATTACAATTAAGAACAGAAATGCCATGGAGTAGTTATTTCCGACTTGGAAGAGTGGATTTCCGTTTAGGTAAAATCTTATTTGAATTATTAAGAAATTAGTGACTTTTTTTTACGGGCGTCAGTTGAAAGGGTTTTGAAACGTTCAGTTGAGCAGGATTTAAAAAACCCAAGCGCGTTTCAGTTAAAATTCCAAACATCATGAACAAGGATCCGATTATGATGTAGCTATATACGGTTTGAGTCAGTGCTCAGAACAGTTTGAATATTTCGAGGAACACTTATCTTATTTTGAGCCAATCAAGTTTCTTCTAGTATTTCACCGTTTTTCGCGGCTTTTGACGTCATTGGAAACGTTTTAAAGTCTATTTGAAATATGACAGTAGCTTAAATCCGTGCAATATGGGCTTACCTATATCTTCCTTGTCTGCACTGATTCTAGTAAGAGAGAGGATTTAACCAACGTTACGTCAAGCTCACTCGGTTTAGCCTAGAGTTCACTGCATGGTTTAGCCCGTTTTCGCACTGATTTATATTTGCCTTTGGTAGATCGTGTTATAAGTTTACTGACTGAAGGATTTGTCCCAATAAATTGACTTACTAATACGTACATTTACATTGTGTTATGCAAACTATAAGAAGTTCTGGAACTATTTTCCATTGCAACCATAAAGAGTCAAAAGCAAATCAACTAAAATCCAATCTACTTATGTTCTTTACCATATTATCTGTCGAAAGAATTTTGTGCAAATAATTTCCTCAATCTTTTAAGGATCCGTATTTCTAGACATTTGTGAGGGCCTAATTTTTAGATTGCCGTTTTTTGCTCTGCGAGTTTTTAGAAAACATGTTTTAAAAAAACGCGCAACCCTGTTAAACGACTGATGCACATGTAACCTGGCAGTTCTAAACTGTTCTAGTGCACCTTGTGTAGTTACAGTTAATAAGCCTTTTTCAAAAGGAAGTCTTCCTTGATTTATCTGACATTTCAAATTGGATTTGTCTCGCCATCGTGTCTACGGAAGGTTCTAAAAGGTAGCGGGCATGACATAAGACATCGCCTAACCTTCAACCACTGGCAAAATACTGTTAATGTAATTGATTCTACGTACAAGTACGTTTATTTGATTTGATCAACAACCAGCCTACACCGGCGCGTGCAGCAAACATGAAAAATTGAACTCACTCCCTGGAATAAACTGGGGTAAAAATATACACGTTACACGTAAATCAGTTTTGGTTAAAAACGCTTTTACTATACGAAAGTCAACTGGTTTTGAAATATGATTAAATAAATGCACATTACACAAAGATACTGAGTGTATGCATGTTAGGCTATATTATACATGTACGTAAAAAACTTTCATAAAAGCTTCACTGGGGTTCACTCGAATCCCGAGCCGCGAACCCGGAGGTTAATATCCTGTCATCTGTAGAAGCGGGAAGGGGCGCTTTATAGGGGTGCATGGCGACAACCAGCACACGTTTGACTCCTGCCCGTCTGCCAGGTACTCATTTTTTAAAATACTGAAGGCACTGTTACACTATACAACTTTCTTTAGGTTCTTGCATCTTGCAATGCAAATTTACTCCTGAGGCAAATAAAGTTGACTAATACGAACATTTCTTAAGATCTGCTAACTTCTTCTTAGCATACGAATTAACATCCCTCAAAATTATAACCGCATCGCAAGTTGCAAGAAAAATTGCCTAGTGTAACAGCGCATTTACACACGAAAGCCTACGAAAGCCTCGGTTCTGAGAAGAGGAGTTTGTCGGCTCAAATATTTGCCAAGAAATACTGACTTTAGTATCGGTATCGAAAAAATGGCGGTATCCGCATATCGAATGAAAAAAGGTGGTATTGCCTATCACTAAAACTCAAGACTTCAATTAATCGGGTAACTATAGGGTGCCGATGATTGAATCTACCGAACATTGAATAATTATATGCACAAATACACATCATGAATATAATATGATATCTGATATCTTATTATGAAAATGCCAGTGTCATCTTGTGAAAGTAAGAGATTAATATTACAATCATAAACACAATTCCTGCAGTTAGCTGTAGAATTTTGGTCTTTAATCTTTGCTTCCATTAATATGTGGTCAGAATGAAAGGTAATCATATAACTGTTGATCGTTACGTTGACGAACTATATATTATTATATGACGTTGGCAATTTAATGCTTTTTCAATCAAATGCTTTTTATTTATCGTCTGTGTAATAAGTTTGAGGGCATGCTTGTGTAGAAAAGCACAAAACAGGGGAGGCTAACAACACATCGTAGTGTAATCACTCGAGATCACTAATGTCATGTAATGAATATGAGGTATGTTTGTTTAAACAACTGCCTTAATTGTTCCTTAAGAGTTCCATATCATTTATTTTATGTTCACGGTAGGGCGCATGCGCATTAGGCGCCCAAAGGGGCCTAAAAAGGTGCCTTATTGCATGCAGTTTGCCACTACACAATAGCCTCGGCTTTAGAATTTCCTAGTTTCTGGTTTGCCGTCTCCAGTTTCTAAAAGAATGTAAGTAAAGAAAGATCGATCAATTTATTTAGCAAATAAATAAATAGCATTTCTGTTATTGTCTTTCTTGCAGGCATTAAAACCTTTGTAAACTGTTGTGTCGAGTATTTGGTATTCCGATGTTTGTAATTTCGTTTGCAAAGGCGTTTTTACGAGGACGTTTTCCAAAAAGATTTATCATCAGGATTATATTAATCTCTATTCTCTTCCTTATATTTCTTATTGGAACTGTCAAAATAGCTTCAAACTCATCGAATAGTATTGCTTTAACAAATGACATTGACACTGACAACTGCACTTCATCAACTAAGAATATTTCGTGCATCAAGTCTGGAGAATTAGAGATCGATTCAACATCGGAACGATTCAGTCAAAAGTGTGACATACCAATAAAAAATAGCCATTTCTCTTTGGCCCATAGATTTCCTCACATTATAATAATTGGTTTCGGAAAGGCAGGAACACGTGCTCTGTATCAAATAATTCGCCTTAACCCCAAGGTTGTTGGACCTCCCAATGAACTGCGCTTCTTCTCAAATGACGCGAAATACAAATTGGGAGTGAACGCCTACACCAAACGGATGCCACCAACAACGTCAACTCAGATAACAATAGAAAAGAGTCCAGATTATATAATTAAACCAGTTGCAGCTATACGATTGAAGAAAGCAATTGAAAGATGTGGTCGCAGTAGGGACATTAAATTTATTGTTGTTTTACGAGACCCATTCACTCGAACAGTTTCTGAATACCTGCACTGGAAGTTGTATTTACAATCTGAAGGGAAAAACATTCGTAGTTTTGAAAAACTGGCTATCAAGAATTCCGGCCACGTTGACAATCTCCGTGCTCAGGTAAAACCGTAAAGCTAAATGTCATAGTCATTGTGGTCAGTAGTGTAATATAGCGATAAGCAAAAACCTCACTTAATCATTCTACCACACTAACCACCGTCCCTTAATATTCACCTTATGATGAAACATAAGAAAATCACACTCCGAAGAACATCTTGTAATACCAAGATTTGTGTATTAATGATCACAGGGCAAAACCAATGGAATCGAAGATGAGAATATCCAGCAAAAAAACTTGAATGCCTGGGCTAGGGAAAACAGTCCTTAGACTTAGGGGTGGGGGGTGTTTAGGAATGTGTCACAGGGAGTGACCGTGTTACTGGGGACGTGAAATGCCTCGAAGAATGTTTGTCGCTATACAATTACTTAATGGTTTCCGTGTTTGGATGGCCTGATCCAAACACGCGGTTAATTTTTAAACAACTGGTCCCAGTGCGCCAGAAATAGCTGTAAGAACGTCACGTATTTCTATTTCGAAATCGTTAGGTTTTAGTGTCCACCGAAAAACGAGGTGACGTTTATTATGAATTATTTCAGGTAAATACAAGTGCTTATTCTTATCACGTACAAAATTGGCTGAAAGTATTTGATTTGAGTCAAATGTGTTTTGTTGACGGTGACCGTCTTGCCAAAAATCCATATCCCGTTGCGAAGAAGTTAGAAAAATGTCTGGAACTTGAAGACTTTATCACACAAGAACATTTTTACTATAATAAAGCGAAAAGATTTTACTGTCCTGTAGACCGTAAAGGAAATCCAAAATGTCTTTCTTCAAACAAGGGTAGACCTCATCCAAAGATTGACGTGGACGTTGAAATGAAACTAAGAGCATTTTTCAAGCCATACAACAAGGCGCTGTATAATGTAACTGGGATAAATTTTGGTTGGAGGTAGTGAAATAAACGTCAGTGTACCTGATTTTAACATGATACTGATGATAGACTTGCGGATGATAAATAAATGAGTACAAATTGCTCGACTTGTCACCAATTATTCCTCGACTCCTCAAATCGTACACCTCTATTCAACTTCACAGGATTGACCCTAACCCTAAAAATATCGTTTGGTTTAAAATGTCGGAGACGGGGGGCTTCGAGACATAGGGGCCTCGTACAAAAATAATTAGAACTACAAAACAGTAGGACTAAAAGACCAGACTTTGAACTTTAGTATGGCAAATGCCATTAGGATTCTTTGAAGCCATAATATCAACGTCATAAAATATTGGAATTAATTATTTTGGTAGACAAATGGGTCCTATTTTGTATTTTAGCGTATCTGAGGGGGCCAAAAATGAACGATTGAGGGATGGGAGGGATGGTGGCACAACGGTTGCGTTACGCAACTGCTAACAGATGTCATACCGTTCATAACCAAAGAAAAAAGACAAATTAGACAATATTTTCGCTGATCTCTATGTGCTCCCAAGCCATGCTATTTATGCGGAATGCTGGTGCATACTATGGCTGGTGGAGTCGCTATATATAGCTCAGTGCATCAGTAACACGAAATTTGATTGGCTATTACACAGGTCAATGTCGAACCAATCAAGTTTAATGTTACATGGGTCTTCTATACGCTTCACTTTAGTACTAGTTTTGTACTTGTATTTTGGCTATTATAAATAATAAATATTTCATTTTCACAAAATCAATACATATAATTGTATGTCCACGAAAAAAAGGATTCTTTGATGGTGCATATTTGATTCCTGATTCTTCTTTAAAGATAATCGTTACGAAGGAAGTGCTCTAAAGTTCTGGATATGTATATAGAAAAACGACCTGGTCTTAAAACGTGTGCTTATTATAGCTCAAAAAATTCACTGGCTGTTTTAAATGTTATTTACATTGTAAGTATATAAATGTTCATTTGATTATATCTCTTCAATTTATAATAGTTTCAGTTTAATGATGATGTTTAAAAATAAGAAATTGAAATGTAGTGTGAATCATGGGCTGTTCATTTAATAACCAACAACCAACCTGAACCTCTTTAGTCTTTCCTGAGGACAAATGAGATGTCATTTTGATTTACAATGTTTCATAGTATTAGGAGGTTCAAATAAAATTTAAAAATATTTTTGTGCAGGTTGCTTTAGTCAACTACTTAATTTCAGGTTCCTATAAATCTCAGTTAATCAAATTTCAATTAGCCATTATCAGCTCAAGTTTTAATAAAGATACCAATATGATTAGCTTTTCATATGACTCTGCTTTCTATACTTTTGCCTTTGACAATCATTTCAATCAGGAACAAGCCCCACAATACCCCCTCCCTGTCTTTCTAATTACTTCACAGCCTTGGTTGAGCTGTATGACTTGATGGCTTGTGATTTTAAACCTAAAATTCCAAATTTCAGTTGTTACAGTATACCATATTTGATGCTAAGTTGTTTGAAGACGCTACCAACGTACGTTGCACCCTGTTTATATTAAAATTCACTGTGGTAACATTCCAGATATTTTATGTGACAAAAAATAGGTGACACAGAGTTGGATAAATTTTTACCTAGCCAGCTGAGAAATAATAAATTATGACATATATAATATTATTACATAGATTAATGGTTGTATAATTTAATTATTTTCTAGTTTCTTGCAATTCTGTTAATATGCATTGCTGTCTATGCCAAGATCACAGCTGTGTTGACTAGTCTACCAATATTGGGTGCTGTGGTAGCATGTGGTGTTTTCTTGCTGATTATTTCAATATTTGGTCTTATTGGTGCAGTAAGGCATCAACTAGTTATCCTATTCTTTGTATCCATTTTATTTTATATCTATGTATATTATATCTGAGAATTTTTGGTACCTAATTAGGTCATAATCAAAGAATTTGAGAAGGATTAGCTATTGCCCCCCAGCATACTAGCTGCTACTGATATCCATTGTTTATTGCAATCACAGTATATGTTTTACCCAGTACACTTCAGCAACGTAGTAGTATTTCTTAACATGATTTAGTACATGATAACACTGGCATTTCTATTCATTTTCCTACTCTCCGTATCAATTGCTGCTCTGACTGTGCCTCCGGCTAAGCAAGAAGCCTTATTAAGATCGAGTTGGCAACGTCTGGGGAATCAAACAAAGGATGAACTTCAAGTTGCAGGAAATTGTTGTGGTTTTCATGTTTTGGCAGATTTGGCAAATACTACCATGTCTCATCCACCCTGTGTGAAAGTAAGGTTTCAGACATTGATATGGCATGTGGTTTAGTCAACTAACAATAATATTCTCATCTTCTTTGTCACCTTTCTAATGATTGGCTTTCCTATTGCAAGCCTATGAATAACAGGTGTCTGGCACCAAAATATAATATTCTGTTCCCAACATTATTATTAATATAAGATGCAGTTGGGTAGTCAGCCTGACAATTTAGTCCAGCTCTTTAGAAAATAATGGTTTTCACAGAACTTTAATGAGCACCAAAGTTTCAGTACAGCAGGATTAAATCTTTAGGTCAGCTATGCTCCTGATAAGATGTTATAGAAACATATAATTATGAAGATTGTTTAGAAAGAATTAACACCAGGGGCCGGTTGTATGAAAGCCGGATAGCGCTATCCACCGGATAGTGGTTTTTTCAATCGCTTCAAAATCGCCCGTTATTTGCTACAACTTGATTAAATCTTAGTATTCCTAAATCGAAGATCCTCTTTAATAATTGTTGCTTCTAAGCTGAAATTTTATCGCTTCTCGAGCATTTTTAGAACGGTTGAAAAAATCACTATCCGGTGGATAGCGATATCCGGCTTTGATACAACCGGCCCCAGGTCAATTATACATGCAATCCAGACAAACTTTGGGCTTAATTGTAAATGTATGTTATCCTAACAATAAAAAGAAATGGTATATGTTCTCTCAATTCGTTTGATGATTGGCATAGATATGTCATAAGTTTTACAACAACTTTCCAAACATGTGATGAAGTAGTCATTCTAATGAAATTTTTAAATTTGGTTGCACCCAATAGCAACTACACGCCTACTGCTGTAGTTGTACATTACCAAAAAGGCTTTCTGCCAAAACAAACAATTGTGCTGGACAGTCACTTTGTCATACTGGGGCCGGTTGTATTGAGCCCGTTTAGCTTAAACGGTGGATAGGTTCAAAATAGAAAAAAAAATTATTAATTTATTGAATAACTAAACTAAAAAATTTCAATGTAAATAGTTTAATTTTCAATGGAAGTGCATATTTAATACGAAAGATGTATGTTCAGTCATTCACAAGATGCATGAGAATATTTTTACACTTTGGCTTATCAAACGTTTAAGCTAAAGGCCTTTCGAACAACCAGCCCCAGTACAATAATTTACCAATCTTTGCCCCAAAATGTATTTATTCCAATTAATGAACAAAAACTTCACAGAAGTAACAAATAACAAAATATTAAGTCAATTGTTATGTCCTATGACATTCATGTTTTCCTTTTTTTAGCTTCCTTGCTGTAAGAAAAAGACTCACAATCATTGCGATGAATGCCCAGCATGTTTTGCATATTTCAAAGATTCTATTGATCAAGTTCTCTCAGTTGCTGGAGGTGTTGGGTTATTTTTCAGTTTTACTTTGGTATGAATAATTCTTTAAATTATAATATAACGATGCTATAGTTAGCCTTTAACTGATCAATTAGCTTTTCTTACTATTTATGTGCATGGTCACTGTCTTTTCCAGTTGTTGTTTGTGGTTCATGACTTATATCATTGTTTCACTAATGAAAAAAGTAGATTAACGATTTAGTCCAGACTATGTTTTTACAGGACTCCATGTTTTACTCTCGGACAACAAAAAGCCTTGGGCTTGGGAGAGTTTTATTTTATCATTTCATAATTCATATGCTATTTTGATTACATGGATGGGGGTATTTTACTGAGAACTAAAACACTCGTAGAACTCATACGCCGGTCTTTGGTTCGTGTATAAAACGAAACTAACGTTGGAAATACAAACGAAAACACTTAAAAGACATCTTTAGATAAGTAAAATTTATTCTACTTTAATTTTTAGGCCATAATTTAAAAAATATTCGCTTTTATAATGGTCTTTTGCGGCTTACTTACTTGTCGTCTTATGTCGTCGAAAATATGGATTTTATTTTATATTCTCGTGTAAAAACGATTTCTTGCCACTGGAACATAAAATCCATATCTACTCGCAACCGAGTTTAGAGCAATATCTATATCATTGTCATGAGCAATCGAAAACACTCCTTGCTATATTTCTTTTACAGATATTTGGTGTTTATGTGGCGTACAAGTATCGAAATATTAAAGATCCAAGGAGTCTTTCGGGATCATTTCTCTAACGTCTGTTCCAAAGGATAGTTTAGTGCAGCTTCACATAGCTTTACAGTAAAGCTATAGTAAAACAGTAGAGCTGGATGTATTTGAAACCCCAACTTAATCTTAAATATTTAAAAAGAATGCGATGAGTGATGAGGGTTCGCCTGACTCGGTCAAAGAATGTTGAAAACTTGAAAGAAGACGAAACAAGAATACTGATTCTAGGATATTAAAATGATTGAAGGCGGAGCTGTTTTCTTGAAAATTAGTATTTATTAAGACATATTGTAAGGCCTGTTTCAGACGTCGAACTTTTCATGTGCCTAATCGAATGTAAATGTAGTTAAACAAATACTGTAGCTCATTAACATTAACATTAGGTTCGGCGCATGAAAAGTTCGAGAAAAAAAGTTAAGTTAAGCCTTTAAGGCATTTGGTTCTGTATGGGAGGCCTTGTAGTATTTATGTATGCCGTGTAGTATTTTAGGCTATTACTATGTGCACACGATTCACACGATTTTTTTAGTTTATCGTTTCGAAAATAAAAACGCTCCAAAATGATAAGCAATGACGTTCTTCTTCTATATGATTGATTGAGGTTGACCATGCAATGGCAATGAAGTAGATATTTTATTTCTATCGACAAAGAATTTTATGCACCAATAAGGCAATAACCACCGACAATATCCATTGCGGACGAATCACGATTTGACTGCGTTTGACCGTTGCCGTTGTTACGGTCCGTCGCGTTGATGCATTTACGACTTCCACTCCTCCAGAAGTCGATTTTTGATGACCAGACCATAAAGGTTTAATTATTTATATCACACAGGGCTGCCCGAAATAGTCTAATCCAAGGTAACGGAGACTTAAAGAATATACTGCAATCATAAAATAACTCTGGCTTCAGGGCAGGCTGTTCACGTTCCTGTGAGAGGTTATTACATTAAGTGGCTATAATTGGCTATTACCACTGAGCTATATAATAATTCCTGGAGGACCGGCTCCTAATGTTTTTTTCTCAAAAAGTGAAGCAAAAAACATGGCGGACTTCGCCCTTCTGCGCAACCGCAGAAGCTCTGCTGACGCCACTTGGTTCCTTTTGGCCATGGTATTTACCACTGACCAGGCTCAATAATGAGCCCGCTACAGCAGTATTCTCCCCCTGGTTTTTGTAAATAACATTTCTCCCCCCTGGTTTTTATATTTTTTTTGCCGTGAAATCTTGTTTGTTTTTGAAATATTTTTTGGTTGTTTTGTTGATATTTTTCGCACTGACATCTAATAAAGTTTTATTTTAAGATGAATACAAGTCATACACGCTGTTTTTGCCAGTGCGGGAACGAATATATATTAAAATATCGAAAAATGTGGACAAACTAAAGATTTTAATACTGACACGAACTGACAGGTTTATTATTTTATTAGTCTTAATAATATTTTTGTTATTTATACATTCCAATATGAAAGTTTACAAATGTTTGAATGTTTTGGCACTATCCTCGCATATTTGAAGACAACTAGGAATTTATGGGCAACAATTTGACTTTTCTAAACCCTGAACTGATGAATTGCGCAGGAAGTATGTAATCAGTATTCAGTATGTGATGCTGTCTTCAAGACTTTATATCTATGCACAATCCAAAATCCAAAGAAACAGAGGCCATAGCTCAGGCAAAATGCTGGGCAGTTGACGAATACTAAGTGCAGGAATATAATTTCAACCAAGAATCATATTTGCATAATATACTTTTCATTCAAGTCATCAACTTGTACCTTAATAAACCTGTTTTCAGCATTCTCTAATTGCATCCCTGGACCCCTGGTCATAGAAAAAATAACATTTATCCCTCCATAGGCTCCACTGATTAGCCTAATGAATATAGCCCTCTTAGAGGTTGATACCATACACAGAAAATTACAAACGTTGCTGCAGATTGAAGACACACTGCTCAGTCAATGCATGTTTATATTTATTTCATTAATTAATAAATATGACAAATGGTATAAGAACACCAGCCAACAACAAAATCAGATAACATGGAAATGAAAAATAACAATGCACAGTCATAAAATGCATGAACTTCATCCTGAAAAATAAAAATGGAGATATAATCAAGATTTATTCCCAAGGTGCAAGAAGCTAAAAAATAAATTAAAAGCCATTATAATTGATCATTTCACTTTGGATTTGACAAAGTAAACAAGATAATATATTAACTAGGCTTTAACAGAGCTCACTATCAAAGGTTGGAATTAATTTACACTGTTTACAGCATCTTTTTATTTTGTATTAGCACCCTCAGATCATGTTAATTGATGCTGGGTGGGATCAATAGAAGAGGGACTATAGTAGACTCACTGGGGGAATGGTTTACCTATTAGCATTGATGTTTGCTATCATGAAAACAACATAGACCAAACTCAAAAGATTGACACTGCCAGGAATATAATTTTTTCCCCACACAAGTTAAGAAAAAATGATAAAATTTGGGTATATAACATTGCATTGACTGTTTGTACCAAACCTTTTGATGGATTTATTGTCTCAGAGGCTTTGGTAACCAGTTTATACTATAGTCCAACTCGAAAGGCCAAAAACGAAATTGTTTATAGTAAAAAAGTTGAAAAACGGCTTACCTCAGTTTAATACCTGGATGTTATAAAATAAGAGCAAAATGAGAAAATTCACCCTACCGATAAGTGAAAATAAGCCATTCACAACGTCAGACGCAGAGCACGAAGCTACGTGTCCTTTCCATTTGTTGAATAGGGAAAAAGAGAAACACTTTTATCCATTTTATATGAAAAACAAAAAATATATACGGAAAGCTGAAAATATTTTCATAAAATCCAGGAGGGAGACGGACTCAATTTCTCACTTTGTATCGCGGTATGTCAGTGGTAACTACCATGAGCAAAAGGAACCAAGTGGCGTCAGCAAACGCCGAAATCCGCCATGTTTTTTGCTTCACTTTCTGGTCAAGAACCGGTCCTCCAGGAATTATTATATAGCTCAGTGGCTATTACGCAATCAAAATGAGTGTTGCGCGATGCATGCTGGGAGTGATCAAGTTTCTCCAACATGGCGGCGGCTGGCCTTTCTGTTATTTCATCTTTTAATAGCGAGAATAGAAATATTTTGAAAAATGATGATCTACCAAAAGCTAAAAGCAACAAAGAAGTTAAGGTAAATATTTTCTGTCAGTAAGATACAAAGTAAACGTATAAAAATACTTGAAATATATTAAATAAAAATTACAAAGTTTGTGTTTTAGTTTTATTTCACGGCTTCTTGATTTTATTTGTCAAATTTAGTAACCATAGTACGTCTATAGTACGTTAGATGTACGGATGTATGATTGATTTAAACCGGTCATATAACTTTGATTTCATATTTCATTTTCAACTACACGTGATTTTCTAGCTTAATAATGAATTTATTTATAGATCTTGATTAACCATTCTGAAACTTTTTCTAACGTTTAATACGTCATATAATGTACTTATATCTTAGTTGTTTCAGAAGGTACATATATCAGATTATCAGAAATCATGTTTGAGACATGACTTCAAGTCATTACTATGTAACATGTGGTCAGAAAAATTTGCATCAAATCTGGGTATTTTCTGCTCCCTGGTTTTATTGAGATGTAGACAGAAGTGTGACCAACAAAGTCTAATTTTTTTATTCAATCACACTAACGTGAATATTTAGAAATCACAATTACTTTTGTTTGTGAAAAATAAAACATATATTCAATGATTATAATATAAGCTCTTGTGAAGTAAGATTTGATAGCCAACAAGGCAAAGCTGAGCAGAAGCTGAGCTATTTATGATGAGAGTGAATGGTATCATTGTTAACATTATAATCTCAGCTGTATATGGTTGGCAGCATTCTCACTTCTAAGGAAATTTCCTTAGAAAAGTTTGACTTTTTCAAGGGGAGGGAGGTATATTTAATATAATATACTCAATTTTTTTTTGTCTCAGGTTGTTCAAAACATCGTGAGAGCCCTGATGGCTGGAGTGAATGACATAATTGTTGAATAAAATAGCCAAAATAATAATAATAATAAAATATTACAAAATATATAATAAAATAAAATATAGGGTTCAATAGCTATAGATAAAAACAGATAATTTTGATCAGTGTATTGGTATAAACATCATATTGTCTAAAATTGGATATTATTTGTAACTGATTGCATATAATATAATAGGCACATTTGGATGTTATATGCTTTCAGATGGAGATTGAAATTGATAAAAGCCATGAGGGAATTCAGCAATACTATGTCACAAAAATTGAAGAACTTCAGGTGACCTTTCACGTCTTTAGTTGCAATAAAAATTTGGGTTAAAATTGCAGATATAAGTTCATTCATTCTGGAAGAGAATTGAATTCATAGTCAGTCATATTATTCCATCTATGTTACAATTTGGAAACCAGGAGAGTAGTAAATGTTGTTTTGCATGAGTTTTTGGTGGTTGTGTCACTTTTCGACCCTATGAAGCATGGATTATATTCTTACATTTGTTTGTAAACAATACCTATTTTTGTTTCAAAATAAAGTTATGCATATTTATCATCTTAAGAAGTGCCTTTTCTCAAAAGTGAAAGTAGTTTCTTTCGGATGACTTCAGAGTTGCGTTAGCAGTTAGTTGGGTACTGTATAATGTAGGTGTTTTTTAAATAATTAAATCAATGCATGTCATAGTTGTAAAATACTTTGATTGAATTTTCCTCAGCTGACAGTTACAGAAAAGGTTAAAAACCTTCGAAGACTTGAAGCACAGAGAAATGAATTAAATGCTAAAGGTAATTTATTTATTTTATACTATAAAATGGCTTTTAAAATTCCTTTTTAAAACATCTCACACAATACTTTTTTATGCTGTTCAAGTGTTTATGATATTTTGACACAATGTTGAATTCATGTTTTGTTCCAGTGCGTATGTTACGAGAGGAATTGCAGTTATTGCAGGAACAAGGATCATATGTGGGTGAAGTTGTAAAGCCAATGGATAAAAAGAAAGTTCTTGTTAAGGTGAGTATTTGGTTTAGTAATTCAAAAAAATCATTTGAGTTTAATTAAATGAGCACA